AACCAGCGGGGTTTTAAAAATGGCGGCTCCCCGCTTATGCAAATGAAGCCTGGGAAATTCAAATCCCGGGCTTCATTTGCAAGTGTGGTATGCCTACATTACCCTCCTAGTTCGAACTAGGAGGGTAGTGTAGACATACCCAGGGAGTGTAACATGAATGCATGCTGCCAGCTCTCTGTGTTATACTTATAACAGTAGCACCGTTTTAATAAGTCTGTCTATTCAGTTATGGCAGAAGTAACCTACTGTTAAATCACTTGAAGAAGATGGCACAAGCCACAAAACCACAAAGTCTATGGGGATGATTTATTAATAATTTGATTTAGAATAGACAAACTCTACTGTAGGCAGCTTGCTAGGTAAAAGCATTTCAGAGTGTTCAGTCTCATAGACTCATAGACTTTAAAGTCAGAAGGGACAATTATGATTACCTAGTCTGATCTCCTGCATATTTCAAATCACAGAACCTCTCTTCTCCCTCCCCCCACTCTTCTAATAGAACTATAACCTATAACTGAGTTACTGAAGTCCTCAAATCAAGATTTCAAGTTACAGATAGTCCACTTTTTATATTAGTTTAAATCTGCAAGTGACCCATGCCCCATGTACCAGAGGAAGGCAACCTCTCCCCCAGGTCTCACCAATCTGACCTGGAAGAAAATTCTAACCCCAAATATGGCCATTGGTTAGACTCCAAGCATATAGACAAGACCCTCTAGCCAGATACCTGGGAAAGAATTCTCTGCAGTAACTCAGCATTCTCCCCATCTAGTATCCCATCTCCAGCCAATCAAACTGTGTATAACCAAGCAGGCAGGCAGAGTTTGTTAAGCTGTGCGGACTTTGGAGCTGGCTAAGCTGTGTGGACTTGGAAAACTCCTGAGAGGAATTGTCATGTCAAGGAAATGTATACAAAGAATATTTGAACAAGGTACCTTGGAGATTTAAAGATTCCTGTGGGATTGTAAAAGTTCTGGATACCGTTTTATTTGTTTCTTTTATATCTCTGAAGCTACTTCTACAGCTACTAATACACTTTTTTAATACAAAGCAAAACATTAAAAATTAGATAAGGATTTGTCCTTCTGATTGAGTGAGACTAAGGGTGCATCTAGACAACACCCTTCTGTTGGAATAAGATATGCAATTTGCGCTAAGCTTATTCCAAGTCTAAGTTGAAAGAGCTTATTTTTTCAAATCTAAGTTGAAAGAGTTTATATTTCAAAATAAGGCTGTTCTGACAAATCCCTTAATGCTCGTGGAATGAGGGTTACAGTGACACCGGAATAATGTGCCCACTATACTTGGGAAATAGCGGGCACTTTTAAAGACGCGGCGTTGCTATTTCGGAATACTTGCGGTATCTCGAAATAGCAACTCAGTCTAGACATACCCTAAGATAGCAACCATAAGCTAGTGTAGCAGGGATTTTTCAGTTTCTGCAGTGTACCAGTACAGAAGAGCTACATATCAGCTCTTCCTTTAAAGAAATGGCAATAGCTACCATTAAGAACACTAAACAAGATTAGAATCTGGCTTTAATAATTTCATAGCATCTTGGAGTGATATCCCCATATTTTTGCATTCCCACAAAAACATTCATTTTCCTTATATTTAGTGTTTTATTGAAAGAACCGTACACTAACAAGCCTTCTAAATGCTAGGCCATACTGGCACTTCTCTGAGGGCTTATCTACACCGGCAAGGCAGTGCAGAATATGCCAGGGTGAGAATTTAAAGTACAATAGTTATTCTGCATAAAATGACCACATTAATAACACTCTTACTCTGAATAAAAAGTGCCTTTTTTTGCAGTTTACCTTTCAAATGCACTAGTTGTGCCAGAGTGTTTTGCAGTTTAGCTTCCAAATGCACTAGTCATGCCAGACTATTTCCCCATGTAGACAAGCTTTGGAGGCAGCTATGTTCCACATACAATATTTCCTATTCACTGATATTGGCTAAATATTAGCTACTATGAGCTAAACATCTTCACAATCTCTAAAATACTCCCTACCATACATGGGTGTTATGAAACTAAACTCATTATGAATGTGAGATATGCAGCAAATATTGAAATTTACAAATACCTACAATGAAAATGAATGAATAACAAATTTTTTTTACAAGTATTAAAATGAATCTCTGCCAGAATTTTTCAAACAAAGGGTGGGATTTTCAAGAGTTAAACATTTGTTTCCAATGGGAGTAGAGTGAGGACAGCAACGTGCACTTTTGAAAATCCCAGATAAAACGATGAGTTATTATAACCCCTTTATATTTATGAATATATTGTTTTCTAAACTTGCCTTTTTATCTTAGCAAACCATTCAGATATTCTTAGTATTTAAAAAAAGAAATATACTTATATTTAATAAATCTTAGGTTAATACATTTGTCAAATAATCATAGTATATTGTACAGTATCTTTATTGCATAAATTTGTTGCTGAAAAACATACATTGTTTAGTTCAGAACCTGAATGGATTACTGTCTACCTAAGTATAAGTGGGAGAATGAATAATATACTCCCCACTGATTATACCTCTCAAGATCATAGTAAGCACCCTCAGAATAAGTACGACACATCTTTCGGGAATGAAGTAATCTGATTGCATCTTCACAAAAGAGAGGATACATTGTGCAATCCTTGCTGCCAAAACATAAAGGGCGAACACAATGAAAAACAACATAATAATGAGATGAGGACAAATTAACATGAAAAAACAGGAACTTTCAGCAAATAAGGTAATAATCAGAAATAGAACTCAGCCAATACAAATTGAAATGAGAAACTGAGGATTGGTCAATTTAGCAATTACTGGAAATAAAAATATATAAGATAAATTAACTTGCAGGTGAGAATATTAAAAAAATCATACTTAGAATTTGCCTGTTGTAACCTTAAAGTTTAAATACTGTATATGGCAGATGTATTTCCATTGAGTATTTATGTTGGTTGATTTTAAATAGTTTTTTTAAATAACTTTCTTGAAGAGAGACCTTGCAACTGAAAAATGTAGTTTCATTTTTATGTGGCACCAATTATAGACTTTGGGGCTGAAAAATGTAAAAACATACAATGTCCTATAAAATAATATCCTATCGTAGGGTGTGTCTAGACTACAGGATTTTTTCAAAAAAAGTGGCCTTTTTTTGAAAAACTTCACCTGCGTCTAGACTGCAGCTGCGTCTAGAAAGTAAGTCGAAAGAACGCAGCAGTTTTTTCGACTGCGGAAAACCTCGTTTTACGAGGAATAACGCCTTTTCTTGAAAGTGCTCTTTCGAAAAAAGGTGCTGTATAATGCAAACTGTGCTTTTTCGAAAGAGAGCATCCAGACTGCATGGGTGCTCTCTTTCGAAAAAGCGGCTTGCTTTTTCGAAAGTACTGGCTGTAGTCTAGACGCTCTTTTTCAAAAGAGGCTTTTTCAAAAGTATCCTTCAAAAAAGCCTCTTTTGAAAGAGGCTTGCAGTCTAGACATAGCCTAGCTGTCTACCAACTAATAACCCAGACACCATTTTTTTCTATAAACACATTAGTTATTTTGGTACTAAGAACAATTCTTCTGAATTTTATATCATGTAGGTAAACACAGGTACATTCTTTTATCCACACAGTATCACACAGAGGAAAATATGTACCTGGTATCTCTGTGATGGTGGTCAAATGACTGAGTATATCGAGAGCGAGGTAGCGTGAAACAATGACTGAAAGCATGGCAGAAACAAAAATGCAAATGTGAGACAATGAAATAAAAAGGGAATAATTTACATCACACAACAGAAACATGAAGGTCAGGTGACTTGTGGAAAGACCATTCATAAAATATTGCCTGGATGTACTCAAATAACCACTTAATTTTAAATCTGAAGTGTGGTACCAAACATCAAAACTAGGTAAAATACTTATACATTTTAAAGGAGAAGTTATGAATATTTTGAAAAAACTAGATTACTTTTCTGTAATTAATTTTTTCAGTTTACTTCCTCCATAGAGTCCAATAACTAGAGCGTGCATAACCTGGCTATATGGGACAACAGAAAATAATAAAAAATAAGCTGGTTTTTTAATGTTGATTGCAAAGCTCCATGTGTGATATGGAAACAAAGCATTGACTATAAATTCAAAGTCGAACAGACCATTCTTTATTTATCAGGCAGCTTCCACTTAAGGGAAGAATGAAGATTCTCATGCAAGCAGAGATATCGGAAACACATATAGAATTATGACTGTGACAATTTATGAAAATTCAAGTTATAGATCAACAACCCACTTTCATAACATCCATCCATAGACAGCAAATCTAAAGAGGCTAAAAAGCAGTCCCAACTAGTATATTATAGTTTTAAAATTTCTAGATAAACAAAAAGAAAAGAGTAGCCTTACCAAAGTAGTGTGTTAATCAAAATAATATTGATTTTAAAAACTGGCCCAAATGCTATGTGGAAATATTTTACAAATTTTATAACTCAAATTTAATGAAAACAGGGAGAAGTATCCAAAAACATGGCAGCCTTCTAAAATCTTCCTGGTTCTAATTCAGCCCAGACCTAGGTCCTACATTTCTCTTTGGAAAGAGAATCAATGACCAAGATGAAAAGTTTCTTCCAAGGCTACAATCTGACTACCATTTAGGTTTGGTAGTTCACAATGTGAAGGGTTATAAGGACAAAAAGTAAACCCTTCATACAAATGATTACAAGCACTGCAAGATGAGGATTCTGGGTAAAGAACTGGAGCCTCCGTTCTAACCTGCTTCTTATAAGAAGGGTGAGAGGAGTAGTTGGCATTGTCTTTAAAGTAGTTATACTTTTTCTTTATAAACTTGGAAGCAGCTAGTCAAAACAGGCTGCAATGACATCGCAACTCTACCTGGTCAGTGATTTCTTGCCCAGGTATCTCTTGGTTGTAGCCTGTGTACATTCCTGTACAAAATTTAACTCAAAATCCTTGAATGATTTCTGCAAAAACTGGAGAAAAGTAGAAATGTGCTCTTTACCATGACTATGTTGGTATTTTTCCACAGAGAATGTGAATTTAACTTCAGATAAGTCCTCCAGATCAGTGGCTCTCAATCTTTCCAAAGAACTGTACCCCTTTAGGGGTCTGATTTGTCTTCTATACCTCCAAGTCTCACCCAATTTAAAAACCGCTTGCTGACAACATGAGGCATAAAATACAAGTGTCACAGCACACTACTACTGAAAAATTACTTACTTTCTCATTTTTACCAAAAAACTGTAAAATGAATCAATTGGTATATAAATATTGTACTTACATTTCAGGGTACAGAATATAGAGCAGTGTAAACAAGTCATTCTATGGCATTTTAGTTTGTACTTACTTTGCTCATGCTTTTTATATAACCTGTTGTAAAACTAGGCCAGTGTTTCTCAAAGCTAACAGAGCACTCTGCTTTGTTTATCTAAAGGCTCCACAGCCACTGAGTCTCACAGCTCCCATTGTCTCTGGTTCACTGTTTCCAGCAAAGGGAAGCAACATTGCCTGGGTTGACACTTCCTGCAGCTCCCCTTGGCTGGAAATGATGAACTGGAACCAATGAGAACTGCAAAGCTCTGTAACTGCAGAATCTTTAGGTAAACAAAGTGGAGCAGCCCATTAGCAGCTTTCTCAAAGTCCCATAGCCCACTTTAAGATACACTGAAGTAGGCAAATATGTAGATGAATTCATGTGCTAGAACCCCCCATCCCACTTCTGGGGACACGTACATATTGTTCCAGACCATCAGTTCCAAGCAGCAACTTTGATCATGTAATCCTCAGACTGCTTCCAACCATCTGGAAGTGTCATCTGAATGGGGAGGCATTGTATGACACCAGAAACTGGAAACTGGCAACACTACAGTCTATGGAATAAGAAGCACCAACATAAAGTCTTGAATTTCCTATTTAAATTACAGTTATATGTCTGGAGCAAAGAGCACTCTGTGTTCTGAGAGACACCCCTATAGAGATGGGGAGAGAACAATATGTTAGGGTATGTCTACACAAGCCCCCTAGTTTGAACTAGGGTGGCTAATGTAGGCATTCAAATTTGCAAATGAAGCCCGGGATTTAAATATCCCAGGCTTCATTTGCATGATCCCAGGCGGGTGGCATTTTTAAATCCCCTTAGTTCAAACTGACTGCCCGCGGCTACATGCTGCAGTCAGAAGTTAATCCGAACTAAGTCCTTAGTTCGGATTAACTGTTACTCCTCCTGCAATGAGGTGTAACAGTTAATTCAAACTAAGGACTTAGTTCGGATTAATTTCTGACTGCCACGTGTAGCTGCAAGCAGTCGTACTTTGGAAGGAGGAATAAGAGATCCTCCGGAAAAGGCTTTATTTTCCAGAGAATCACGTCTAGACTGGCGCTTTTCTCCGGCTTATCTCCAAGCCGGAAAAAAGCAGCAGCCATGTTAATGCAATTACCGCGGGGGATATTTAAATCCCCCGCGGATTTGCCTATTCCAAAGTCTACATTAGCATCCCTTTTCCGGAAAGGGGTGCCAATGTAGACACAGCCCTTGACTATAGTTCTGCTTCACTGACACAATTAAAAGTCTCTGATTCTTTCTTTCTTTCTTTCTTTCTTTCTTTCTTTCTTTCTTTCTTTCTTTCAGAAAGATGTGGACAAATTGGAGAGACCAGAGGATGGAAACAAAAGTGCTAAAAGGTTTTAGTGTGGGGAGGCTGCCTCACACAGATAACAGGGGAGTTAAAGCAGCCCTCAGAGAGCAACCCGAATCAATGGGAAGAAGGCTTATAGAGCCCGCCAATTAGAGAAAGGATTTTTAGAGCAGCCAATCATGGCCAGGTAGGGCCATATAAGAAGGGTTGCTCAGCTGAGCAGAAAGCAGTCTCTCTCTGGAATGCAAGACAGAAGAACTAACTGCGGAAATAGCCCTTCAGATTGAGCAGTGCTGCACAGGGTCAGGGAAGTGAGAAAGCTCCAGTCCAACTGACTGCCAGATTGAAACCCTGATACAGGGACAAAGAAGGTTCTGGCTGGGCTATGAGGATGTGGCTAAGGGAAAAAGGCAGCAGAGGCTGGAGGAGGGACAGTAGGTGGCTGTCAGCTATAGGGTCGCTAAGTTAGGATTCAAAGCAGTTGGCAAATCTCCCTCCCTCCCTCCCTGCTTCATCCAGTTGCCTCATTAGCAAGTGGGGTGCATCCACATTTCAGTTTGCCCCTGAGGAGAGGGGTTGGACCTTAGACTGACAGAGTCCTCTGACTTAAGTGGTGGAACTAAGGATTGCCAGTCTCCTGAAAAGGGGAGGGAAATGAATGGAATGGTGCATAGCCATGGGTCCCAGAGTGGTAAAGACAGCAGAAGTGACGGTGGCTGAGACACCACCTGAGGAGGAGCATGGTTGCACCAAGCTAATTCCCTGGATGGCCAGTAGGAAGTGCCATTGTGGTGAGTCACACCACATTACAGGTTTGGAAAAAGCTAACTTATGAGGAAAAGGTTAAATAAATGGGCATGTTTAGTCTTGAGAAAAGGCTGAACAGACATTCTAGGTTTTAGAGTGATAGAGACAGACTGACAATCCTGGAATTTTCTTTACTGGGGAGGGTGATCAATTAACAACATGAACAAATATGTTATGCTGTTACCATGATCATGATGAACACATGCTGACATGTGGCATAAGGGATCTGTCGAAAAAGCCATTCTTTCTTAACAGATCCCCCTCTAGACTGCTGCTTTTTGCCGACAAAGTGCTGAGTCGGCAAACGCAGTGGCCATTTTCATGCAAATTAGGCGTGGGATATTTAAATCCCTGCCTCATTTGCAATGTCGACCTACCTAATCTGCATCACTCTGCCATCAGAGGGATGCAGTCCAGACATACCCTTGAAGTCTAATATGCTCACAAATCCTTTACAGGTTCCTAAAGATCACATCTTAAGAATAAATGGTCAGTAAAAAACATTTCAAGAAATTAACTGTGTGAATAACTTTTTTCTGATAATTGTTTTTTACATATCTCATAAGTAGACAAGTGGGACTTTAATTGATTCTTCTCTTTCAAAATTTTACACTGACTTTTAAAAATACTGTTAAAATGATTTTACTATAGTCTGAAACATCTTAAAGAAAATTCACAGATGAATAAAATAAAGATAGCTATAGAGAAAAAAGAGATGGTTAGCAATTAATAATTAAATACACTTGCTATGGTCCATGTTTTGGATTTTAATATTTTTCTCAGGGGACAAAACAAAAAAAATAGACTAATTCCTAGGTTTGATTTTCAAGGAATGAAGGATAAGCAAAATCGCAATAAGTGTTGTTATACAACAGTCAGGTTGTTTTATGTGCAACATTGAGGAAAAAAGGAAAAGTAGCACTAAATATAGTCATGCCCTCCAGAATCAGTTTAAGCGAACATTCCTTTATGCTTCTTTGCTATAGGAAAATTCTAGTGAGTGACTATGTTTTCACTCAAATCAGAGTTCAATGTCTATTTCAATTTCTGAAGGCCAGAATGCATAAAACTAGATTTTTCCACTCCAGTACCAGTCTTATCATGGTGACTTCCCCCCCAGTAACACTTTGAAACCATGGACAAAGTCATACATCAGGCACTAGTCCAGGGATGGGCAAAATATGATTTGCATGTCAGATTTGGTCCACCAAGCCCCAGATTCAGCCCCTGAGAACCTCAGCTGGCTCCCTGCCTGCCCAGTCTCCGTT